AATTTGCTGCAAAGCTCTTTTCCCAATTACTTGTTTCCATTTTAATTTTAACTTCATTGGTTTTGGGTAAAACCTTTTAATTTTATGTAATCAAAATTGTCCACTTTTTATTCTGTTGTTCCCCTTTCTCCCTTGTTTGGTTAGTCACACTTCACCTATCTGTAGAACTGAAAGGTAATTAATTCCTTGCTAATCTAATTTGCTTATGATGTCATCCTTTATGTCTATGTCATGTATCAATTTGGAGCTTATATTGATATACAGTATAAGATACTTTTCTATACCTGATTTCTGCCAAACTGCTTTCCAATTTTCCAAGCAGTTTTTGTCAGAGAAATTAATCCTTAGTCCAGGAACTCAGGTCTTTGTGTTTATCAAACAATTTGCTATTGTGTTTACTTCCATATGTTGTATACTTACTCTATCCCACTGATCAACCTCTCTATTTTTAGCCACTATCAAATTGTTTTAATGATTACATCTTTATAGAATAAGCAAATATCTGGTACTGAAGGGCTTCCTTCCTTCTCATTTTTTTTTTCTCATTATTACTCTTGAGATTCTTGACCTTTGTTTCTTCCAGATGAATTTTCTTATTAATTTTTACTAGCTCTATAATATAATCCTTTGGTAGTTTTATTGATATCGCACTGAATAAGTAAGTTTATTAAGGTAATAATGTTATGCCTATGATATGGCTTGACCTATCCATTGTCCATTAATCTCTCTCCAATTATTTAGGAGTGGTTATTATTTCTCCAATTGTTGTTTTACAATTGGATTCAAATAGTTTTTGGATGTGTATTAGTAGATAGAATGCCAAATATTTTATAATCTCTGTAGTTATTTGGGATAAAAGTTTTCTTTCTAGCTCTTCCTGCTGGATTTTGTTTTAATATACAAGAATGCTGATAATTTATATTGATTCATTTTATATACTGAAACTTTGCTGAATTTATTGTTTATTGTTTCAGTTAATTTTTAGTTGACTCTGTTGAGCTCTACATACCCCATTATATTACCTGCAAAAGATGATAATTTTGTTTCCTTTTTGCCTGTGATTATTTCCTCTATTTCTCTTTCTTGTTTTATTACTCCAGCTAGCATTTCTAGATCTGTGCTAAATAGTGGTGATAATGGGCATCCTTGCTTTATCTCTGTTCCTATTGGGAAGGCCTCTAACTTTTCTCCATTACTTTGTTTGTTCTTGGTATTATTTACTGTATTAAGGAATGGTCCACTTATTGCTATACTTTCTAGCATTTTTAAACAAAAACAAATATTAGGTTTTTGTCAAAAGACTTTTCAGCATCTATTCATATAATATGTGGTTTTTAAAATTATTTATATAGTTTATTATATTTATAGTCTTCCTTATGTTTATCCAACCCTGTATTCCTGGTATAGTCAACCTTGTTATTGCATATAATCTTTCTTATATGCTATCACAGCCCTTTTGCTAATATAGGTCCCTCCTTCTGTAGAAATTGTTTGGCCATGTGTCTTGCTGTGGTTCAGGCCCATTCTGCCTAGATGCTACTTTAGGGCCTTTTGTTCTTCTCTAATTGATTCTCTGTCATGATACTTATAAAGGATGTTCCAAACCATTTTTCTTTCTTTTTTTTTTAAATTAGTTTATTTTGAATTATCAACAATCACTTCCATAAGCTTTTGAGTTTTAAATTTTTTTCCTCCTCCCAACCTCCCTCCCCTAGACGGCATGCAATCTGATATAGGTTATACATATACATTCCTATTAAACATATTTTCATATTAGTGATGTTGTAAGTAAGAATTAGAACCAATAGGAGGAACCACCGGAAAGAGGAAACAAAACACAACAGAAGAAAAAAAAGTAGCAAGTAGTATGCTTCGATCTGCATTCAAACTCCATAGTTCTTTCTTCTTTGTGGATAGCATTTTCCATCAAGAGGCCTTTGGAGATGTCTTAGATCCTTGTATTGCTGAGAAGTGTTGTTTATCAATATTAATCATCTCATAATGTGGCTGTTATTGTGTACAACGTTCTCTTGGTTCTGCTCACTTCACTCCGCATCAGACTATGCAAGTCTTTCCAGGTTTTTCTGAAGTCATCCTGTTCATCATTTCTTATACCACAATGGTATTCCACAAACCTTTTTTCTTAATCCCCAATAACCCTAGTACAATTCTATCTTTCAGCAGTTGTGCTTTTTTACTACTTTATTGAGAAAATAAAGGCCATCCATACTCAACTCACTCTTCTCCCTTATTCACTACCTCAGAACCTCTCTAAATAGTTTTCCATTCTCTTTGCCTTTGGTACAATCTCTGAGGAAGGATATCCCTCCTCCTTTCTGTGGCTAATCCCTCTGCTGGTGTTCTTGAGTCTGTCTTCTAGAAACTTTCTCCAGTTATCATTCCAACCATCTATCATTTTCTGTTTATCCATATCTACTGGCTCCTTCTGTGATGTGCTGCTGTCTCACTTATTCTTGACAGGACAAAACAAAACTTTCATTCAATCTTGCCATGCCCTCTAAATCCATCTCTTCTTCCTTTCCCTGCCAGGCTCCCAAAAAGTTGTCTATCCTCACCAGTGACACGTCTTCAAAATGCACTCATTTTCTGGTTTCTTATCCTACTATTTTACTGAAGTTACCAATGATTTCAAGGTCACTAGTGATCTCTTAACTAATAAATCCAATGACCTTCTCTTAGCTAGTATTTGTGTAGTACCTATTATGTGCTAGGCTCTGTGGTAAGAGCTTTACAATTATTATCTCATTTGATCCTCTCAACAACCCTGGGAGTTAAGAGTGATTATTATTACCATTTTATATTTGAGGATACTTAGACAAATAGAGGTTAAGTGACTTGCCCAGAATGACACAGCTAATAAGTCTCTGAGGCTGTATTTGAACTCGGGTCTTCCTGACTCCAGACCCAGGACTGTATCCACTGTGCCATCTTTTGTCCACTTCTTCCTCCTGGATACTCTCCTCTTCCTTAACCTCCCTGATAGATCCCTCTCTCTGAGTTCTCCTTCAGCCTGCCTTACCATCACTATTCTCTCTCCTTAATTTAAATAAGTCCCATGACTTTTATTTATTTATTTATTTTTTGGCTAGGCAGTGGGGTTAAGTGACTTGCCCAGGGTTACATAGCTAGTGTGTGTCAAGTGTCTGAGGCTGGATTTGAACTCTGGTCCTCCTGAATCCAGGGCCAGTGCTCTATCCACTGTGCCACCTAGCTGCCCCAAGTCCTGTGACTTTTAACTGCCTGCTGGATATTTCTATCTGAATGTCCTGGCAACATCTCAAATTCCACATGTTCGAAATGAAGTGTTTTATTCCTCTCTCCCCTCCCTACCCCACCCGAATCCCATTGCTTATAGAGGTCCTTGGTTCAAATCAAGTGGTAATAAAAATAGCATTTTTATTTAATGGTGATAATCTCACATTACAGCAGTGGAGGATGCCTGTTAAAGAGCAGTCTATAGGGAAATCTGACATCACTGAATGCATGCAGAAAGAGGTTTCAAAGAGCCTCATCAGGGAGTCATCATTCAGTCACAATCAACCCTTAGTGACCCCATTTGGAATTTTCTTGGCAAAGATACTGAAATGGTTTGCCATTTCCTTCTCTAATGGATCCATTTTGTCAGGCAGAAGTTAAATGACTTGCCTAGTGTCACATAGCTAGCAAGTGCCTGAGGCTGCATTTGAACTTGATTGTTCCTGATTCCAGGATTAGTGCTCTATCCATTGGCCACTGGCTGCCTCCCTCATCTGAGTAGTATGCAATTTGTTTAGTGCCTGGGCAATTACAGATAAAGACCTTTATCTGGCCAGCCACATTCAAAAGTTGTGGTAACTACCTGGCTTGAGCAGGTGTTGATAATTCTGCTTTCCTCAGTTTCCTGGGGTGCTCAGTGGGCAGAGGAACATAGCCAGGAACTGTTTTCCCACTGAAAGCACTTCTGTCCCTTTATCTGCCCACAGAGGGGCTTGCCTCTGAGAGTGGTCATTCTGCCATGAGGGATTCAACTCCATCTCCCTCTCCTATTGATAACAAGGAAATTAATAAAAACCGTGCTTTCCTTACGCTTGAAAAAGTGAGGCACAAGTATATTTGGATTTGGATTCACTGTAAATTGTATAATTCCTCATTGTGCATTTATAAATATATATATATATATATATATATATGATTTTTTAAAAGATGTTATTTTTAATTTCCTTAGTTGGTAAACTGTGACCAACTATTTCCATGTGTCTGTATCACTCCCCATCCCCACTCACACACACTTGTTTCTCTGTGTGACTTGAAGCTCTGCAGCAAGGGTTCTTAAACCGAGGTCTGTGAACTTGTTTTTTAAATATTTGGACAACTGCATTTCAATATAATTGGCTTCTTTGGCAACCCTGTGTATTTTATTTTATCTACTTAAAAACATTATTCTCGGAAGAATGCCAGACTGCCAAAGGGGCCCATAGTACACAAATAAGTTACAATTCCCTGCTTACAGGCAGTGGGCTAGAGCAGGCTCCAGTTAAGAGCCTTTAAGCTGACTGTTAAATTTTCAGTGTGGGCATTTATACCTTGGAAATCGGCAAATGCTGTAAATCAGTTTGATTATTGCTTTGTTGATTGTCTAGATTTAAAGTTATAGAGAAAATGTTAATAATGAAGGTGTGTCCTGTGTATATTTTTGTTCATTTTTGTCCATGTCTTTTGTTTGTTTTTGTCATCTGTGAATCCTCTATAATGCCTCTGCCAAGTGGGTTGGAGGGAATTCTTACTGGTTTGTTTCTGGGGTTTTTTTTTGATATCTTGAGCACATCACAGTATCATTTTGGCTGTCCATCGGTTGCCTTTAATTCTTGCTGTATGGCTGGCCTCTCTCCTTTCTCAGTTTTACATGTTTTTGATATGTCTCTTCACAATTGTTAATAAGAATTAAATCTTTAATTAAGAACTGACTATCTGCTTCTCTTCATTTTCATATTCTGTTCCAGGTATTCTTACGTTTTCTCATCGTGAGAAAAGTAAGGAAGTTTCATTAGCTACTCGTCCTAGGCCTGGTCGACCAGAGGTATTTATTATTCATTTATCAATAGTGTACAGCAGTACACCTGGAGGAGCTCGACTGAGGTAAATAAAATTAAGACACATATAAACAACTTTAATAGCTCATTATAGATGGATATCAGGAATAAAAATATCTGATGATATATTTAATTTGAATCTATTTTTTTCAAGATAGAAAAAGTTAGAGGTTAGCTTTCCTCGATTCAGAAACACATCTCTCAGTTTTAATATAAGGCAGAAGGAGTGTGTCTTCAAGATGGCTTGTTACCTGAGCTTCTGTAGCATGCACTCTAGTTGTCTCTTCCACACCGTTCACTCTGTTACTTGTGAAGTTCACAATCCTCTGGTTCCAAGGATCTGTACTAGGTACCTGTTTCCAACCCCATTGAGAGAGTTGACAAGTGATCAGAGACAGCACTGTTCTGCTCCTTCTCAAGCGAGAAAATTGGCCTGAGGTTACACCTTCCTCCCCCATCTCCATCATACCAGAGTCTAGAAGTTGCCAACTTGGCATACCACTTTTGAGTGATTGCCAACTCCTAATAGAAAAAGAAATTGGAGACTGAAATATATCTGTCAACTTGAGACGGTTTATTGAAATCAGAAGTGAGCCATAGTGGTAGATTGATTTGAAAATATTGACACCTTTGAGTCCTTGGCAGCTTTGTGAGCACCAAACTGGATTTTAAAACCTATTAATCTGGCTGGCTTATAATTTTATTTTTAAACTAAAGTCACTACATATGAATGCCACCTCCATGAAAGTCCTCCTCTAATACTTCATTGTAGCATGTATGTAACCCTGGCTCTCTGCTATATCTTTACCTGTAATAAATGACTAAAGTGACTATTAGTCAGTTGTCTACAGTCTCTACCGAGTTGAAAAGTGTCTACAATTTGTTATCCAGTGACCAACCTTACTTAAGTTTGGGGAGGCCAGAACAGGTGTTTTTGTTTTGGGGCTATAGTCACTCCCGAAGATGGTCTGTTAGAGCCTAATAATGAATTGAACCTACAATTGCATGAATTCACATTCCTTTTGAAGCATAGTCTTGCTGAAATGAGGAGAAAAAGTCCATTCACAAATAAACCACAACCTAGAGGAAGCTAGGTGGTACAGTGGTTAGAGTGCTGGGCCCGGGTTCAGGAATACCTAAGTTCAAATCTGGCCTCAGACACTTACTAGCAATGTAAACCTGGGCACGTGAATTAATTCTATTTGCCTCAGTTTCCTCATCTGTAAAAAGAGCTGTTTTAGAAAATGGCAAACCACCCCAGTACCTTTGCCAAGAAAACCTTAAATGAGGTTATAAAGAGTCTAAAATGACTGAACAACAACAACAAAGGAATGTAAACTCACTATGAGAGAGGTATAAGAGAAACCGAAACATTATGTTATCTCTACTTGATAATGAGCACAATCAAAGGAACATTAAACCCCATTTAAAGGGAATCGTGACATATTCAGACTGGTAGCATGGTTTCCACAAATTAGAAAGGCAGAGAAACAGCCAAATTGGTATTCACTGCCAACAATCCTGATAATTTTTAATGACTCTAAATATTTTATGAATTTAGGCAAGGACAATCTCAGGGGTTTTTTTTGCCTCTAAAGCCTATAATACTGTGACTCTGTGAACCTCTTCATGGTATTTACCTATAGACCATAACATGCATAGTTTATACACATTACAAAGTAAAAATACACAGTAAGGGGTTCATTCTTTGTGGGATCTTATTAGGAAGCCACAGTTACCAAGACTGTTTCATTACTATCTATTGTGAGGTGCACTATCTATATTTTAGTGCATTTACATTGTTTAATATTTCATTTTCAGAGTGCTTTATGTTTTGATGAAAAATAATAAAATATGGACAGTGCATATAGATTTTTAAAAATAGAACTGAACCTGATTACCTTCCTTTTTCTTATCTGTGGAGGGTGACAATGGGCTTAAGTAAATGTACTTGGGCATTTTTGTTATTTAGTCTGACTCTTTGTGACCCCTTTTGAAGTTTTCTTGGCAAAGATACTGAAGTGATTTGCCATTTCCTTCTCTAGCTCATTTTACAGATGAGGAACTGAGGCAAACAAGGTTAAGTGACTTGCCCAGGGTCCCACTGCTAGTAAATGTCTCAAGAAGATGAGTCTTCCTTATTCCAGGCCTGGCACTTATCTACTGTGCCACATAGTTGGTATGCTTGGCATACCAGGCATATTTATAGACAAGGGGATAAGTGGAGAGAATATGGTTTCATATTGTATATGTGTTGTGGTTCTTCATTTGCCTGAAGCATACATGGCTCTTCTGGACATAGAATCCAAAGGGACAGGGAAGTATTTTATAGGACATTTTGCCTATTTATATCTAGATTCTCAAAAAGCACATGTGAATGCAGCCTTCCTGATGGGTATCATATCAATTATCCTTTCAGCTAAGGCCTCATTGTCCTCCATCCCAACCAAAGTCACTCATGTTCTGGAAAATCGATGCATATTCTTCGTTCTAGAATGTTAAGGGCATTAGCCTCATCAACCAATATGTAGGGTTTTTACTATTTCGAAGAGATCATGTCAATTTTAAGAAACATATGCATGAAAGGTTAATCTTTTCTGAAGAGCTTGTATTTCTTAACTAATGCAACCTTTGATGGGGGCGGTGTTATTCCTTTTCAGACCAGGATTGACTGTGGCTAAAATCGAACCAATGGGAATCTTTCAGTTTTCCCTTATCTCAAGAGATATCATAATATCAGAAGATGCACAGATGGTTAGTTTGAGTGTACAGAGATTGTTTGGTTTCCATGGTGACTTTGCTAAAGTGACCTATCAGACTACAGCAGGAAGTGCAAAACCTCTGGAAAATTTTGGACCCATTCAGAATGGAGAACTGATATTTAAAAAATTACAGACTGATATTGATTTTGAAATCACTATCATTGACAATCAGCTTCCTGAGATGGCAAAAGTTTTTTATGTCAATCTGACTTCTGTTGAAATTAAAGGTTTGCAACAGCTTGATGCTAATTGGAAACCACGCTTAAATCCAGATTTCAGTGTTGCAGTTATTACTATATTGGACAATGATGACCTAAGTGTGATTGATGCTGCTGTCCCTGTAACAACTACTGCTTTCCCTAACACTACTGATGCTGTTGTTGCATCTCACACAGTTGTCATGCCTCCTGAAACCATCAAGACTACTGCCATTCCCCAGACAACTGAAATTGTTACCTTTGTTCCTGAAACAACTGGCATTGTCATTCTCACGAATGGAGCAATTGTGCCTGAGAAACCTGATATCGTCACTGTAACTGATGCCTCTGTGAAAGGAATATTTAGTCTGGGGCCACCTATCATTTATGTTGAAGAAGATATAAAGGATGACACACTTGCTACTATAGAAATTCTTGTTAGAAGGACGAGTGGGTTCACCGGTAATGTCAGTGTAACCATTAAAACCTATGGGGGAATAAGTGCTCAGAGACAAACTGGTGAATTTCCTTTTCAAGATGCCTATGGAATTTCTAACCTTTCATGGGCCAATGAAGGAGAAGATTTTATAGAGCATTCTTTCACTCTTATGTTTCTGGATGGAGAAAGAGAAAATAAAGTATATGTTCAAATCTTGGATGATGATGAGCCAGAAGGACAAGAATTCTTTTATGTTTTTCTCACCAACCCTCAGGGTGGAGCCCAAATTATAAAAGGAAGGGATGACATTGGATTTGCAGCTTTTGCAACCATAATTATTAAAGGTATTTTTGTCATTGTTGTTTGATAGGTGATGGTGAAAGAATGAGCTATGCTAGTATAGAATTTGGTACAAAAAAGTCTATTTTAAGCTCTTTCTGAGGGAAGCCTCTTGAGGTGCCCAGATAACTTCACAAGCAATTTTTCACCAATAACGTGAATGCTCATATCGTTAAGTACAGCTCCAGCGGAATATTTAATGTGTACACTAATCCCAGAGTCATTCACATACCCTATGGCATATAAATAATAGATCTGGACAAAATCTTGTATTACTTGTTTACCTTCCTCTTTCTAGATGGAGTCAAACAATTTCAGGTAACCTATATTGTTTTAATGATTCCTCCTTCCTTCTTCTACTTGACACCCTCCAAAGAGAATTAAAACTGACATGCTTTCTCAGCATCCCATTCCAAAGCTAACTGTTACTAGTTACTGTCAGGAAATTTTTTTTTTTTACATAAATCCTTATGAGATTCATAATGAATGTAAAATCATGTCTGAAATTACTTCCTCCAATTTGTTATTTGTGATAATATTATTTTGTGATAATGAACATGTTATATGTTCAGTGTACTGTGGTACACTGCAAAAATCTAGGGATTCAAAAATCTAATAATAAGAGAGATTCCCTCTCTTGTCCTCGAGGAGCTTACAGTAGAGGGTGGAAGATAAGAATATTCTGATAACTGTAATACACTTTGAGATGATAGTCTCCAAGTTCTCTTGGTTCTTTAAGACTATTAGTTTTAGAGAATTAAGTAGCCTACATTTATAGTGATGATGTTTTTTTATGGGGAGATTCTTACACCATGGAAATCATAGGTACAGACCAAAAATTATATAGTATGATATGGACCCTATTAAAAAATCTCTCTATTATGTATGTGTACACACACACACACACATACCCCACACATGTATGTATATATCAGTCACATACTGTGATTGATTATTAGATGTTTATTATTAATTTATTTATTAATATCATTATTAGATGATTATTAGATTGATATATTAGAGCATAGTAGGGTAGTGCATAGAGAGCTGACCTTGATGTCACAAAGACCAAGTAAGTTTGGCATCTTACTATACTAGTTGTGTGATCCTTGCCAAGTCATTTAACCTCTTGGTGTCCCAGGTAACTCTCTACAACTATATAATAAGGTATCAAATTATATTGATCAGGAAGTTTATTTGCCTAGAAGTTTCCTATATTAATGAAATCAAAATTCTGTATCACCCTAAAATGTTTAATATAACACATATAGATATGCAATAGTAAATATTTATCAACCAGACTCTCTGAGGGAAAAAAAAGTATGCATGCAAACTTTTAAGTCTAATCTGCGTTAGACTTTCTTAAGTCTAGACAATCACTAAACAACAAATCAAGCCCTGATTTGTAGCTGTTGCTTATTTCCGAAGTGAAAGTGCTTACGCTGAAAATTTAATAATCAGCTCTCAAGACAGTTAAACTTGGCTCCAGAACACGCCTGAACACATTTTAGTGTAATAAGCCCAACCAATCAATTAATCATTAAAAATTTATTAAGTGCCTATTATGTTCCAAGCACTGTGCTAAGCATTAGTAATACAAAAAGAGTCCAAAGATAGTCTCTGACCTCCAGGAATTTATAATCTAATGGGGGAGACAATGTGTAAACAAATATATACCAAGTGAGCTATATAGAGAAAAAATAGGAAATAATTAAAAGAAGGGAGGCACTGGAATTAAGAGGGGTAGGGAAGACTTCTTACACAAGGTGGGATTTAGTTAGGACTTGAAGGAAGCCAGGGACTTCAGTAGAGGAAGGAGAGCATTCCAGGCATTGGGGACAGTTAGAGAATGCCTGGAGCTGAGAGTTTGTGAAAAAGTCAGGAGTCTAGTGTCATTGGATCAGAGAGGGAGGAAGGTATAAGAAGACTGGAAAGGTAGGAGGACGGCTAGGATATGAAGGTCTTTGAATGTCAAAAAGAACATTTTGTGTTTGCTCCTGGAGGCAATAAAGTTGGAAGCCACTAGAGTTTATTGAGCAGGGGAATAACATAGTTGGACCTGAGCTTTATGACAATCACTTTAGTGACTGAAAGAGGATGGATTGGAGTGGAGAGAGACTCATGAGGTAATGAGGGCCTGTACTGGAGAGGTGGCAGAGTCAGAGGAAAGAAGAGGGTGTATTCAAGAGATGTTGCAAAAATGAAATCAGTAGACCTTGGCAACAGCTTGTATATGAGGAGTGAGAGATAATGAGGAATCCGGGAGAGGTCCAAACATTGGAGGAGAAAGAGATCATTTTTATCAGGAAAAGGTAGGGATATATTTATTCATGGAAGAACAGGTAACTGGGCTAGTTCTTAAAAAGGGAAAGACTGCACCAGGGGGAGATGTAGGGGACAGCAGTTCAGGTATGGGAAGTATAATGTATACAGTAATATTTGTATATAGATACCAGGAAAGGAAAAATAGGATCAAATAATTGTGAGCAGCCCATTCTGCCTAGGATAAAGAAGGTGGGAAGGGAAGTAGTATAAAGTTAGGATAGGAAGAGAGAGTGGCCCCAGTCTGTGCAGGGCTTTGAATGCTAGACTCAGCAGTTTGTATTTTATGCTACAGGTGGTGAAGAACCACTGACAGTTTTTGAGCATGTGTGGGACGTGGTCAGACATGTGTTTTTGGGAAGACCAGTTTGGTTGTGGTGCAAAGGCAGGATTGCAGAGGAATAGGAATGGAGTTAGGGAGATCCATTGGAAGAAGGGTATTTATTTATGCATGCATGCATGCATGCATGCTTTTTTGGTGAAGCAATTGGGGTTAAGTGACTTGCCCAGGGTCACATAGCTAGTAAGTGTCAAGTGTCTGAGGCTGGATTTGAACTCAGGTCCTCCAGACTCCAAGGCCAGAGCTCTATCCACTGTGCCACCTAGCTGTCTCAAGAAGGGTATTTATTACAGTAGTCCAGGAGAGATGTAATGAGGGCCGAATATAGGAGAGAAGTAGAGGAAATGGAAAGGAGAAGCATGGGAAGGAAGAGATGTTGGGGAGGTAGAATCAATGGGACTTACTTGTAAACTTTGGGTGGGATGGGGTGGGTAGCAAGAGTCAAAGATGACCCTGACTTACAAACCTTGGTGACTGGGTAATGTACATACTCTTAGGAGAAATAGGGAAGCAGGGAAGAGGAATAGGATTTAGGTAGGGAATGATGAGTTCTGTTTTGCAGATGTTGAATGTGAGGCGATGACAGGACACAGAGGATATGAGACTGGTGTTCAGTACAGAGTTTAGGGTTAGAGACTGAAATCTGAAATTATGTGCATAGAGATGATAATGGAAGTGGTGGGGGTGACAGCTGTTATTGTCTACTCTATATCTTCTTGTTTCTTGGCATAAATAACCTAATTGTGTAGAAATTTTCCCAGTTTGGTGAAATCTCTTAGCGTGATTGTGTTCTAATGACAGAACCTTTCAGAACCCAAGGTCATGTGTCATGATTTATATCTCTACAATTTACTTTTCTGCTGCATAAATTTATTATGCCATACTTATCCTTACAGGAATTAATTACATTTTAACTGATTATTTGCCCAATTTATTTAGTTCAAATTCTGTTCTGTAACATTTTCACTGTGTTCTATGCCTACTGGCTTAGTGATATTTAGAGACCTAAACAGAGTATACTATCCATGTTAAAGAATGAAATGAGTTATAATTGGCCTACAAATTAATATTTGTACCATTTATTATGCCTCTCTGCCCATCAACCCAATTAGACATTGCAAGAAGAAAGCAAAATCAACTCCATCTCCATCTCCATGTGATCCCTCTTTCCATGATCTCCTTGATTTAAATTCCAATTGAAGCCCTTTGAATAGGCTGCCCCCTCTAACCTGTGACTTGTGTCACTGATTTCATTATCCACGTTGAGTGGATGAGTGGTGGATTGAACATATTTCCTAAATACACACGTATCATTACAATGTATAATTTACTTTCAGGGAGTGATCTTCAGAATGGTATTGTAGGATTCACTGAGGATTCACAAAGTGGACTGGACCTGGATGAAAACTCTGATAAAAGAAATGTCTACCTTGCTGTCATAAGGCAACCAAACAGGTACAGATGTATATTAGGAGGATATAACATCTTGTTTCCCCATTCAGGGTCTAATACATTTTGATTAAAACAGAGGAGGCAGAATAAAATATTAGAGGAGAGATTGTCATGTAATTTTATAATGTCCCAAACATTTATGTGCTGTTTCTTTTATGTAATTTAACATCTTTGCATTACTTTATACATTTTAAGTAGGATTTACTTGGTCAATACCTTGATAGAACCAGGCAAATCAAAGATCTAATTTGTTTCTTCTCTGTAAGAAATAAAGTTTTCTTTATTATTTTGGTGTATGTAGCATTCTGTGTTTCTTGTCAACAGCATCTTTGAAAGTTTAGGTCACTTTTATTAGTACAATCTCTCCCTTGTACCTGTCTTAACATGTTTCATATGAAACTAGATTCATGAGTTGTTGCTGTGTTCCAAGGGAGAATGAGATAAAGAAAATGGACTTTTAATTTTGAAATGAATGCTTGTTTTCTGAGCAGTTTTATGGTTTGGATTTTAACTGCTGTCATTGGATCCCTTTTTTACCTGATTCTCTGAATGGAATAGAATTCTAGAGTCTTAGAATTAGGAGTCTCACATGTCACCTAGGCCAACTCTTACCTGATCAGGAGCTTCTAATACAGCAGAGGTGTCGGACATTTCGACCTGCACATCGCATGTGGCCCACAACATTCCTGTCTTCAGCCCAAACCAAATTAAAATGTAATTGAGAAATGTTTAACACAACAAATAAAAATACAGTAAAACAGATAATATACATCTATGTCAATAGAGTTTGACATCATTATTCTACAGCATCACCAACACTTAACTATGCTTGATGTTTTCTAGTGATGATGAATTCATTCCCTTCTGAGATAGCCCATTCCTCTTTTGGACAGCTCTAATAATTAGATAGGGCAGCTAGGTGGCATGGTGCATAGAGTGCTGGATCTGAGATCAGGAAGACCTGAGTTCAAATCCAGCGTCAGATCACTTGTGTGGCCCTGGGCAAGTCATTTAACCCTGTTTCCTTCCATTTCCTTGTGTGTAAAATGAGCTAGAGAAAGAAATGGCAAATCACTCCAGTACCTTTGCCAAGAAAACCCCAGAAGGGGTCATAAAAAGTTAGACATGACTATAAATAACTAAACAACAACAACAGAATAATTAGATTTTTCCCTTTGTCAGGTTGAATGTCCCCATGCGTCTTCATACTAAGTTGAAATCAGTCCCTCAGCAACTTCTGCTGCTCTCTGGGGCCAAGGAAATCATCTGTCCTCTACATTGTTATACTAATATATAGTGAACATTTCAATTTCTTCGTCTGCTCATCTCTAGCCTGAACATTTGACTGTGAGCTCCTTGAGAACAGGAAGTAGTTTTTTTTTTTAATCTTTTTTTCCTCTTGTATCCCTAGTGCTCAGCACCATGTCTAGAACATCATAGATGCTTGATAAATTCTAGTTGACTAACTGAATATCCCCATTTTGTTCAGTCTGTCCTGGTATGAGATGTTCTACAGTCATTACATCATTATGTTTGTCCTCTTCTAAGCAGACTGCCCCTTGTCTATGTGCTTTCTCAAATACAGTGCCCAGAATAGTCATATCTATCTATCTGTCTATCTATCTATACATATATAAAACATATTTATTTAGAACTTATAGAATTTATAGAACATATGTAATATAGTATATAATTTATATATCTATAATTTAATAATATATAATTTAATTAGCTCTTTTTATTTTCTTTTGAAAGCATTTCTGTGTATCTGTATTTTATTTCCAACTCTGTATTAAACTAGCATTGTGACCTTGGGCAGATCATTTTTTTTTCTGGGTTTTAATTTTTCATGTATAAAATGATGAAGCTGAGCGAGATAATGTTGAAGGTAACTTCTACGCTAAAAAAAAAAAATCACAGTGTAGCAGAAAAAACAGTGGATGAGTTAAAACAAACAACCAGAAAACTTTTACTCTGATCCTAGTTCTCTTATCAGCTAACTATAAGACCTTATGCAAATCACCTAATGTCCCCAAGTCTCAAGTTTTTTGTCTGTGAAATGGGTATAAGTATCTTACTTTTTCACAGGGTTAATGAGGATCATGAGATGAAGTATGCTAAACAATTTTGTAAATTATAAAGCAGATGTTTTCTTTATAAATTGTAATTGTTAATATATTCTGACATCATCTATAATTATAATTTGCTTTGAGGTATTGTATTAGTGTTATGTACAATGTAGTGGTATATTTTGAGAACGAAAATGGGATATAATTAGGCATCATAATTTTTGTACTTTAATGTAATTTAAATGGTTTGACATTGTTCACAGGGTTTTTGAAGATGTCAAGATCTTTTGGCGAGTCACATTTAACAAAACAGCTGTTGTACTTGAGAGAGCAGGAGTAGACTTAGGTGATATACTGCTGTCTGTGTCAGGGACCACAACTTGTATGGCAGGTCAGGCAAAGTGCCTGATCTCCATTGAACTCCAGCCTGATAAGGTAAGAACAAAATCAAATATACTCTACTATTGATGATATTCCCTTTCAAAGAATGAGATAAAGTCTTTTTGTTTGAAGCAAATGTGCTCAATCAACAAGCATTTATAAAGTGTCTTCTCTGTTATAGAGACTGGGCACACAAAGACAAACTTCAGAGAATCCTTTCTGTCAAGTATCTTGCCTGATATAGAAGGAGACAAGATGGAGACATAAATATATACAACATATATGCAAAAGTATAGTTTGAGGGGCAAGGCACTAGCAGCTGAGAAAATCCCCAAAGTCCTTGAGTAGAAGTAGCGTTTGAATGGAGCTGTAAAGGAAACTAGGAAGTTTAAATGTTGGCACGTTGGGATGTAAGGAGGGATTAACTCCAGTCAGGAGGGCAGCACATGCAAAGATACAGAGATGGAAGATGAGACGTGAGTGGGAAGTATCAAGGCATCCAATTTCATTGGGCCTTTAAAGAGTATATAAAGCAGAGGGATAATGATGAGCCTTGAAATGTTGGTTGGAGCCAGATTGTGAAAGGCTTTAAATGTCGAATAAAGGAGTTGGTGTTTGGGGAAGGCAGGGAATAAGCATTTATATAATGCTGACTATGTGCCAGTCACTGTGCTAAGCACTTTTAAAATGTAATCTCATTTATTTGATTCTCACAATAACCCTACAAGGTAGGTGCTATATTATTCCCACTTTGCAGTGAGGAAACTGAGACAAACAGAACTGAAGTAATTTGCATAGAGTCACATAGCTTTTAAATGTTTGAGGCCTGATTTGAACTCAAATCTTCCTGACTCCAGGTCTAGTCTTCAATCACAGTGGATTGTACCTCCCACCTACCTCCTGGAGATAATAGCCACTGAGTCTTATTAGGGGGAGGGAGAAGAGGTCCATGTTCCACGCCTAGCAGTAGAGCCTAAATCATTTTGCTTTTTTTAAGATTTCAGATTTAGAATTTGTCATATATTCTTTCATATGTGTATTTAAGTTAGACTTTTCATTTATCTGCTTCTAGATATTTTTTGACATGCCTTCCAGCCTTAGGCTAGTTGTCAGAGGGAAGATGATCCCCTCAGTTACCTCAGGCAAAGTTTCTCTTGATTCCTTTTCCCTAAATCCTTGACTGACTATGGGAGATTTTTGAATTGTCCTTCCTTTCATCTGTTTACCTTAAGTCTGAAATCTCCCCTTATCCCTATACCTCAGAAACTATTAAAGGAGAAATTTAGATTTTAATCTTTAAAAAAAAAAAGAAAGAAAAAAGTCATTCAGTGCCTTATGTAGTAATTTTCATTGTTTTTACCCAGACACAAGTTTAAACTGTGTGGAGAGAAATAATCAGCCTGTCATGTCTATGGCCTAACTGGGAAAGGGAAATCCTGGAAATTACATAATATGCCTGCCTCTCATAAAGTGTTTCAGTCATATTTAGTAGTTGAGAGAGGTTCATGTTATGACTTGGGTAGTGGTGTTTCCCTATCACACTTCATGTTTATTTTATACCCATAACAGTTTTTAAGACTGGAAGATTTCTTCTATTTCTTTTCCTAGTTAAATGTCGCCACTCAGTGGTACATTGTTCTCTTCTGAGAGTTCTTCATTTATTTTTTTAATTTATTTTTTTATTTTTAGGCAATTGGGGTTAAGTGACTTGCCCAGGGTCACACAGCTAGTAAGTGTCAAGTGTTTGGTCTGAGGCTGGATTTGAACTCAGGTCCTCCTGACTTCAGGGCCGGTACTCTATCCCTGGGAGTTCTTCACCTAGATTATAACATCTTCCTTTGAAGTGAGGGTTTGTGAATGATGTAAAGTAACTGTATAATCACGTTGCAATGAGCAACATTTTCCTTGAGAACAAAAGCACAAGACTATAATGGAGACAGAAATCCTTATTTAAACCAAGACGGGGAGTGCCTGTGTGCCTGGAACACCCATAGACGTCAGTTAATAATACTCTCCTTTCCCAATGCTTCTGTTTTATCTACAAGAGAAATTGAGATCTTTAACAGCTGGAGGAACACACACAGGACATTAGCAGGCAACTGAACAGCAAGTACAAAATAAAAAAAAAAAAAAGGATAATCACTGCATAATATTCATTTAGACAGTTCGACCTCAACTGCAAATTAACATTTGCTTGCCCAGTGGCTGATAGGAAGCATGCTTTTTAGTGCAGCTGCAGAATTTTGTTGTGTTTCAAAAGAGAATAGATTCACAGGAGCCCTTGAATAGAAACAGAAACACATGGAGTATTCAAAGAGCACACCGGTTTCCCTCTCCTCACCCTCTTTGCCAAGAGAGTTGAGCAATGCCTGGCACATAGTAAGTGCTTAATAAATGTTTGTTGACTTGATTCTGGGTTGTTGTCAAGAAATACCTTGACATTCCAGTAAAATGTTTCTCCCACAAAGGTCTATATGAAGAGGTGGGGGGTTTGGGGTGCTACTAGATGAACAGAGGGACCCCAAGATCACGGGAAAAAGCCCAGATCATGGCAAGTATCTGCCTGAATGAATTCAACTCAGATCTTCCAACCAGAGAAAAAGTTTATTAAAGATAAGCATATAGGCCAGACTCCTAAGGAACCCAAACATCAGTGATCTAAATGGGATTTAAGGTGGTCAGGTGACACTCACAAGGAGGAGCAGCATGAAGCTGTCTAGAAAGCTCAGAGTCTGAGTGGAGGCTGGGGTGGATAGGCCACATGATGCGGGCATGAGGGGTCTCAGCTTCTAGGCTTGAGAACAGCTCAGCATCAGAATGGGGGAAAGGTGGGTCTTAAATACAGACTGAGGGAGGGGCCATGCAGTTTGGAGTGACGGCAGGAGGGGTTCAAGGAGTGGCCAAGCAGTTTGGGGTGAGGGGAAGAGAGCTCTAGGGAGATCTGGATGGGGGTGGCCAGCAAGGTGAGGCTAACGGAACACTAGTGCCTAGCTAGGATCAAGGGTGGGAATGGCCAGGAAGGCAAAACAATGGGAAAGCCAGTTGATGGGGGAGGTGGACCGTTTGGAAAAGGATCCAGGTAAGAATTTCTGTTTGGAATGTCTGAGTGATTTGAACAGACAATAAGAATAGATAATGAAGGGAGCTGAAAGGGGAAGTTTGTGTTCAAAGGGCTTTTAAAGGGAAATAAGGTGGTTTCTAAAACTTTAAGGGTTTCCTGGGACTGGTAAACAAACTGAAGCCGCCAGGTTCTTTTTAGGGGCCAGGGAGGAAAGATGTCAAAGAGAGATAAGTGAGTCTAAAAGTTTTAAGGTTTTTCTGGGAATTGTAGGTAAACCTCTTCATATATAGTCTTTTCTAGGCTCATAAAAATCCTGTGGTTTAGGTCTCCCTCCCCCCCTCCCCAAGGTAAACATAGTTTGAGGGTTTCTGATATCCCCTGATGCCTGTGCTATATGATGCTGAACTGTGCTATATAATGGAAAATTAGACAATAGAAGTTGCCTTTGGAAGCTGGACTAACTTGGTTACTATGGGTTAAATCAATGGGCTCAACAATGATGCTAAGATTTTGAATTAAATGATAATTTTCAGTCATGAACTAGGAAATGAGTCAGCACTATATTATGCATTTCAATCTAGTCATCCTTTGGAAAATGACCTTCACAAGATAATTTGGAGGGAAATATAATAATAGATGGGACAAGTTCTCATCAAGACTCTAGATATTCTGTGTTTAGAAGTTGGTTGGTAAAATTATGATACTTAGATATGACTTTACTTCAGAGGAGAAACATTTCAAGAGAAAAATAAATGTGTTTTTGATTGACAGGTAGGAAACATGTAGAAATGAAACATATCAAAGAAAAAACAGTTATCTTTATGATTGGTTCTATCTTTATTCCAGGACCTAGAGAGTTGTTATATTCTTATTTATTGGTATAAATTTTAAAAATGACTGCTTCTGGACAATGGTCGCATAGCTAGGAATAACATGGTATCTTAATAATTGATGATAATATGTAAAGCCAACAACCATATTGCTATAATTTGTTAAGACCAAATTTATGAGATAAAGAAAAATGAAATAATAATAAAAGATACTTTTTTTCTTATTTCTTGGCAGAAATCTCAGTTTGAAATGTATTTTTTTGTGGAGCTCTATGAAGCAAGCATGGGAGCCTCAATAAACAGCAGTGCCAGATTTGCCCAGATAAAAATACTGAAAAGTGATGGACCTCATAGCCTCATCTATTTTTCGGTGGGGTCTCGGCTGGCAGTAGCTAATAAGAAGGCCACTTTAATCAGTTTGCAAGTGGCTCGAGATTTTAGTATAGCACTAATGGTGTATGTTAACTTCACTACGCAGGTAAGAATGGTGATACACATACATATGTGAGATTTTCTAATCTATCTATAACAGTTTTAATGCAATTAGGTAACAGTGTAGGTATTTTTTTCATAAAAGAAGATAATAGTGTTTAGGTTACTTTTAATTTTTTATGCTCTTCCTTGTAACCACTTCATTTTTCATTTCCGCAATAACACGTCAGCTCTTAAAATGCAGATTTTTGCTTTTCTTCTTTCTTTCCCAAGCAGATTATCCATTGCAATATTTTTGTATAAGTCTGTTCTTGAAAATAATTAGAAAGTTTTGGTAAGTACAGAATGGGACACTGCATGAGAGGTGGTAGGTGTACTGAGTGTGCCGCTCTTTAAATTTGAACTGATTATCCATTTACCAATGAAGTAATCTATGAAATTTCTAAGCACTAACCATCCTGTAACATTCAGTGTCCTGATGGTATCAGTTCCTTCTCCCTTCATTCCATTCCATTCTGTGAACTGATCTAGGAGGCCCTTGGGTCACTGTTGTAGTTGATAGTGGTAAAGGTTGGCACCATTTCAACATATAATGTAGAATAAGTACTGAACTTGATTTCAGAAGATCTGTGTTTGGACCTTCTTTTGTTCTGACACTGCCAATATCACTCTATGGACCTCAGTCTGTAAAGTGGATTTCCTTCTTGCTCTAAGTCCTTATGATCTTAGTTTTTGGGGATCTCTCGTAGGAAGTAATGGCAAAGAGCATTAGCCAGCCAGAATGTAGGTTCACTTTATAGCTTAACATGACAGGCCCTTCCTTTGCATGGTAGCCATTGGGCATCTCAGCCTGTGCTCCTGGATTCTGCATTACCCTGGGTACAGAGCTGTGCCAGTCGCGCCGTGCACTCTCCTCCTATAAGGAGCAGGCTGCCAGAGTCATACTTACCAGTCTTCGGTGCCCACCCGGATAAACACAGAGACGAGCCTATCAGGAGGTGCAAACACTCGAGCTTTATTCAGAGGCCATCACACCAAGGCCAAGCAGGAAAGCCAGAGCAAGAGAGCGGGAACAAGAGAGAGCGAGCTCCAATCCCTACCGTTCCTTAAGTACCTACTTAGCCCCTCCTCCTCAGCCCGCCTATTAGTCATTGATTGTAGGATCAGATACTGGAAGGGGATGTCTGGGTTTAGCGCTGCACCAAGGGAGAGGAAGTGACGCAGGAGGCTAGGACCGGATACAGGAAGGAGGCGTCTGGGGTTAGAGCTGCACCTAGGGAAAGTACGTGATCCAGGAAGTCAGGAATGAGACGTCTGGGGTTAATGTTGCACCTAGGGAGAGGACTAGACAAAGGGAACTCGTTCTCCGCCATCTCACTCCCACGTGGCACAGCCCCCTGCCTCAGGAGCACGTGCTCCGGCTACTTCCTTGTTTCCTGTTCCTTCCCCAGCTTATCACAGCTCCACATAGCACTGCCCACTGCCTCGGGAGCGTGAGCTCTGGTTACTTCCTAATATCTTGTTCCTACCCCATCTTGCCACAATCCTCACATGGCAGTAGCCAACATCAGACAATCCATCACACAGACCTTCAGAATCTCATATCTTGTTGATATTACTATATTGTTAATGATGAGAGGCAGCATTGCATAATGGAAAGAATGTGGGACTTGGTCTAAGGAAAAATACCAATTCAGAAGCTTCCTAGCTATGTGACTGACCCTGGACAAATCCCTTGACCTCTCTGTGGCTCAGTTTCCTTGCCTGTAAAATCAGAGGTGTTGAACCTGATGATGTCTAAAGTCCCTTCCAGCTCTAAATCTATGATGTGATGATATGCACCTGGTGGACAGTTCTGGCTTTAAATATAGATGGTACAGGGAAATGTTAGGTTGTGCATTCCACATATAAATTAAGGAGAGCTAGGCCAGGGGTGGCCAAAAGAGTGTGAAAGCTCAGCCTCCAGAATGATTCTCAGCGTCTGAATGGGGCCCAGGGTGGATCTTAAATACAGTAAAGTAACTTTGGGTGGCCAGAGGAAGGGGGAGTGTCTGGGAAAAGGGTCTAGGTGAGAATTCCGTTTGGAAGATCTGAGAGATTGAATAGACAATGGGAATAGATAATGAAGGGAACTGGAAGGTAGAAGTTTGCTTTCAAAGGGAGATAAAGAGAGTAGATAAGGAACCTAAAAGTTTAAGGGTGTTCTTTGTAGGGAGCCAGGTTCTTTTTAGGGCTAGGGAGGAAGGCGCATCTGAATAAGCTAAAGCTTTCAAAGGGAAATAAGGAGCTGGGGCCTGTAGAGCCAGATTCCCTTTGGGGCAAGGGGTGAGGATCTCCAGTCAGTTGTGAGAATCAAATGAGATCATAATTGTAAAGTGCTTAGCCCAGAGCCTGGCACATAGTAAATGCTGTATAAATGTTAGTTCTTCTTCTTATTATTCCAGAAGGCAATTTTAATTCTGACCATTTGATTTATCACTACTATTATCACCATTTCCTATAAAAACTTAAAAAATGTAAAAGAATTGGCATATCAAGGAGGCCGGGCTTAGATGTGTCCTTAGTCAGCAAAAATTTGGTTTTTCTTTTTGTTTGCCAAAGACAAAGACAAGCTATCCAATGGCAAAAGTAGGTAGAATACAAACTAATTTGTAAAAACACTTTTGAGGATAATACAAGATGTCAAGACCAGTGTCACTTCATAAACTACCAGAGAGGTAGTGAAAGCAATATAAGTCTATGAAAAGCTTGTTGTAATACAACCGCTATCATCGTGAGAGCATTCATAGATGAAACTGGCAGGAGGATAACAAGGAGATGGAACAAATTTCTTAACAGGTCTAACAATTGGTTTTCGTCATTAGTGACAGAGAAACTATGTATATTTGGACCCTGACACCATAGTTCCCAATATAATACATGAAAAAAAATAGAAATAACCCTTAAGTAAATGAAGCTGGGAAGAATAACTGAAGAAAATCATGTATATACCAAAGGAATTCATCTAGGAGGGAAAGCCACCTTCAAAGTATTGGATTAATAAGATATTTTGGGGTGAAAAAGAGAACAAAAAGATGGGGAAAAGTCATAAATTATATGATTGTTTCAGAAAGTTGACCAAGAGAACATTCTTTAGTAGTTTAAATGTTGGACTTGGAGTCAGGAACATTCAAGTTCAAATTCTCCCTCAGACATCTGAGCAAACCCCTTGCCCTCTCTGAGGCTCAGCTTCTTGTCTGTAAAATGAGGGGAGTTGAACCTGATGGTCTCTGAAGTCCCTTCCAGCTCTGAATCTGTGATGCAGTGATGTGTAACTGGTGGGCAATTCTGGCTTTAAATCTGGATGGTATGTGGAAATGGTAGGTTGTGTATTCCATATATATATTAAGGACCAAGGCCAGGGCACCTCAGTTTTTTTCATCTCTAAAAAGGGGATAATGATAACACCTACATCATGAGGATACAGTGAGATCATTTGTAAACCTCCAAGCACTAGATAAATGTTAGCTGTTATTGTTATCACTATTATTATTACCAATCCAAATAGGCACTTTCTTTGGAATGTATAATCTCCAAAAGTTGTCTAGAGCCTTGAGAAGTGACTTGTTTGGGAGGGACAGAGGCAGGGAAGGGGCGGGGGAGGACCTGAAATCAGGTCTTCTTGTGCTGCTCCTCTATCATTATCTTGAGAAAAAATTATTGGGAAAGGAAGTGAACTGGACAGGTGGTGAGAGAAAGAAATAAATCTTACAGTCTACGATGGAAGTCACGTGAAAAGGCCTGACACAAGAAGACCAGAGGTACCTGGGGTGGATGCTTTGTTGAGACATGGACAAGAATCACAAAGGATGAGAAGGTGTGGATGACTTGATCTGTAGTGTTGTGGTGTATACCTGCTTGGGGGGAAGGGGAAGGGAGCATCAAAATTATATAATTCCTGCTATGTGCCAGGAACTGTGCTAAGCTCTTTGCAAATATTGTCTCATTTGATCTTCACAACAACCTTTCAAGGTAAGTGCAGTACTTATTCCCATTTTACAAATGAGGAAACTGAAGCAAACAGTCACATAGTTGAATAAGTGCCTGAGGCTGTATTTGAACAGAGGTCTTCTTGACTCCTGGTTCACCACTGTATCCCCTATATTTACCAGCTAGCAGCCTCAGATGACATCACAGGTCTATTAACATTAAAGGATTACCATTTAGGATTAAGAAGTGGTCAGTTAGTTCATTTCCTTGTATTTAATCAGGGCTATTATCCAAATTGATCTCACACATTGATTCAGAATTGTAGCCCCATAGAAATGTTTGCTAGGCCACAAAATTTTCCCTAGTCCTTCTCATCCAACCAAAAAAAAAAGCGTTTCTTCTGCCTTATTGTTTTGATGCTTTAGTATATTCAAAAGCTCTTTCATAGTTTTTATTTTAAGCTTCCTACAATTTCCTGTTTATTTTAGATTTGATACATGTATATATGCCTGTGTATTCCTTTAATTCTTTTTTGATGATCTATCATACCTTCCACTTTTTATGACTTTTGGAAAATAGGTTTCTCAAGAATTTTAGCATGGTATATTAGCCTAGAACATGATTACTTTTAAGAATATTTATATGTCAACATGAGACTAAACTAAGGTTTTCATTCTTAATACCCCCAATTCTTTCTCCTTCTGCACTCCTGTCAAAAGGATAAAAAAAACTAGTTGGATAATTTTTTTAAAGTAACAGTTTGTTCCCTTTTAAAATATTATTGCCTCCATTTTGTAATGTAAATGCCTTTGAAGGTGACAGTCAGGGAATCATAATTAGAATTATGTTATATGTATAATATATATCGGTAATCCTTGCCACCACAAATGCATCACCATGGGTATGATGACTTTGCTTCAGGAGCCCTCTGGCTGCTTCTTCCATTGGTCTACATACCCTGGTGTTCATTTGTTGGCCTTTTGTAAAGAGCTGTGTCATCTATGTTTTCCCTACCTAATCAGTTTAGTTTTCTATAATGAATTGAGGTTCCTCCTTTTGTATGATCAGAAAAACAAGTCAGTAGATTTTAAAAATACACATATTATTAAGTAAGGTAAAATATGACTTTAAAATGAGTTATCAGTTTTAAGTGCTTAATAAATGTTTCATTCATGTGCCAGTTGAGAGATAACATTGTCACTACCATACAATATCTATTCATCTTTTTTGTAATGGGAAAACTGACCAGTGGAGAACTGGTCCTTAGGATATGCATGGATTTGCCTTTCTTGGTAGATTATAGAGAGCATATGCAGATATTTCCTGGCTGGCACTGAGCCTCTACACATGTGATTGAAACGGGCCAATGAAGGACCAGTCCTCTCATTATGCTTCCACCCATAAAGTGGCCATAATGTAAAATGGAAAGAACAATGCCTCTTCCTAAATTGCATATGTGTATCCTGCAAATTGTATCATGGAAATCTTTGATTCAATAAAATCAGGTGTCATTGTAGGTTTGGAGTTTGTATTCCCTGAGAGTATTCATCCATGTTTGGAGTAGAGTAATTCATGGTTTGTCCTGTAAACTACAGGGATCTCCCCTTGTATGTTTCTTTAACAAAGTTGCCGTTGTCTATTTAAGATCTTTTGTTTGAGAGAAATCAGTTTTTATAAAATTAGAAGCACAATTATGTCACTGAAATTATTCTGTTGCAATTCTAGGAGCTGAGGATTGCTGAAACAGTGGGCCGCACTCTCATATCTCCAGCCATTTCAGGGAAAGATTTTGTCAAGTCTGAAGGCACATTGATTTTTGAACCTGGCCAGAGAAATGCTGTATTAGACGTCATCCTAACCCCAGAGACAGAATCTTTAAATCCATATCCTAAGCGTTTTCAGGTTGTGCTTTCTGACCCAATAGGTGGGTCTAGAATAGACAATGTGTATGGTACTGCCAATGTCACTATTGTGTCTGATACTGATTCCCAGTCCTTCTGGGGGCTAGCTGATCAGCTGCACCAACCACTGGATGAAGACATTTTGATCAGAGTGCTCCACAACTTAAATGTCAAAGTAGCCACTGAAAACACAGATGAACAACTTAGTGCTGTCATGTATCTAATAGATAAGGTAAGCATTTCTAAAAAATAATTAGTGGTCTCCATTAAATTGCTTATGAATATAATGGCCCATATCAAATATGACTCTGTGTGCTAGGATTGTATCTATCTTCTCACTTCAGGGTAACCTTGACTGATATGGAGCTAAGAGTAAGTTGGAGTAATGCTGTCACTACGTCTTGGTATGGTGGAAAGGACATTTAGGCTGGGACTTGGAAGACCTAGTTTTTAGTCCTAGAACTTCACAAGCTGTATCGCCTTGGGGAAATTATTTTACCTCTCTGGGCCTCAGTTTCCTCATCAGTAAAGTGAGGGAGCTAGATCTGATGCTCTTCAAAGCACTTTCCTACTCTAAATCCTATGATTCTTTCCTATTTCTAAAATACAGCAGCATCCAGGAGTGGTGGTGTACTCCTATAACCTCTGCTACTGGGGGAAGGGGATCCCTCTGTGTTGAAGTAGGGCTAAATGCAATTAAAGGTCTGTGCTAAGTCCCACAGTTATATGGTGAGCCTCCCCGGAGCAGAGGGCCACCAGGCTGGCCAAGGAGGGTCAAACTGGCCCAGGTTAGAAAAACAGAACAGGATAAATAAAGCTTTTGTATCAATCAGCATTGGGATTGAGCCCATGAGAGGTTAATACACTTTCAGCCTGGGCAAGATAGGGAGACCTAGTCTCAAAAAATGAAATGAAATGACGTAAGATAAAGTCTAGTAGTAACAGTTCTTTATCTCGTCTGTCATTGTGTTTCTTGGATGAAGGGAACGTTAGCAAAAATGGAAGACCCTGAAGTTATTTAAGATTCTTGTACCCGAAGCCTTTTTTGTGGTCTTGAAGCACCTCTGTTTTTTTAGTACAAGATCCTTCTGATGGACTAAAGATAAAGGACCTCAAGAACTTAACATCTCTGTTGAACATTTGCTGTCATTAAGTTTGACTAAGATCTGAAATATGGTACAAGGAGAAATTTAGCTGTAGTGGAGAAACCCAGTAGTGTGAGGTATGGGTGCAGACCAGGGAGCAGAGTCCATTATCGGATAATCGGTATAGAGGCATATTTAGGGGTGGGGAATGGAGAGGAGAGGAGAAGAAAAGAGAGGAGAGGAAAGGAGAAGAGTGGTTGTTGTGAATTTAGTTAACTGAGACAAGCCCTAGAGGAAGGCATTTGGTGAAATATGAGTCTGTAAGAATAAGGTCCAATAGAAAAAGTCCCACGTGGACTTTTGCCAAAACAAATATAATTAATTCTCTATTACTTTATTCTGTTTAATTTCTTTGGTTACTATAAGGTGAAAATGTGGGAGGTACAGCATGGAAAATAATCTAGAATTAAGCAAAGTCTAGAGCAAAAATGATAATTTTATAAATTAACATATATAATAGACAGATATTTTGTTACATCTGCATGTAAATTTGTCAACTCCTCTAGGCTCCTTTTCCTGTAACATCTGTGAAGTGAAAGAGTTGGACTAGGTGTACTCTGAGACTTCTTTCAGCTCCAGTTCTCTGATACTGGCCCATAAGACACTAATATTATTACGACAGAATCTGAGTAACATAATTACTATACTTTTTTCTTTCCTTAATTTTTTTTTAGTTATATGCTTTCATTTTACATTCTTGACACCTTATATTTTCAGTTGATTAGGAGAGGTATTTTGTACCAAATGGATACAAAAAATATTAGTATATGTTCAGGGCCCAAGAACACTCAGTAGCTGTGGAGTCTTCCATTTCTTCAACATTTGCATCTCCCAAGCAAAACAAGTTAAGAGAGTGGAGAGCAAAAGCCTCTATAACTAGCTTTTTAAATGTGGAAAGGAAAATTATATGTCACTTAGGGACACTTGCTGTTATCAAGATGCCTGACAAATTCCTCAGTCCCTTCTTAAAAAGTCTCATTTCCTGGAAAGACCCTTTCTGAGTCCTTTTCACCTAGGAAAGTACACAGAACTAGCAGTGATTAGCCAGCAAATCCAAAAGAAATCATGTGAACAACTTCTGGTCTTACAAAAATATGTGAGCAAATCGCTTTGTTTGCTTTGTTTGATTACATGATATTATAACATTGCTTTATAACCATCCTTTTCATGTCTGTACCCTGTCATTTTCCCAGCTAAGAAACTACTGTAGGCAAAAGCTAAATATTTTAAACTCTCTGTAGAAGAGATAGGTGGAAAAAAGAATGAAGTACCCCGCAAAGGTCAATCCTCGCCAAATAGCTCTAAGAACCAGCTGGAGTGGCTTGTGTCAGATTAGGAGGAGTGAGTTAGAGGGATAAGGCTTTTCTGAGGGAAATGTTCCTACTTATGTCCTAGTGATAAGACCTCTTGTGATTATGATAAGTTAGAAGGTGATATAGAAAGTAAAAGTATAATTTGGCTCTATAAGGAACAACAGTTCTAAACTGATTTTAAGCATTGATTTTAAAAGATGTATGTAACAAAGTCTATTATATTTTCCATTTTAGAAAGTTATATGAGAGCCATGTATTACTGACAGACATTTGAAACTATTTTACACAAAGTTATGTAGACATTTCTTGATTGCTGTTTATGGATTCACTGGGTAAAAGGAAACAGGAAGTAAACAGTGACAAATAGATCAAGACATCCAGATTTCAAAGGCATGAATCACAAAACTCAATTACCAGAGATGCCCAAGATGGGAAAATCTAATTAGCTTCATTTCTTCCTAACACTTATCAGCCAATGTAGTTTTCTCCATAGTAAGGTAGCAATTTCAATGAAATGAAAATTCAAAAATATTAGAGGAAAGGTATTGTTTTAAAAGAAAGGCTGTTTTTACTATGTACCAGCTGAAGTATATTGAGCTTCAGTGGAAAACATATAACTATTTCAAACGAGGTCAGTTCTGATATCAAGTATTTTTATAGAACTATCACATACATGAACCATTCCATGGACTAATGTTTCTTAAATACCTTTTCTCTGTTTCAGTCATGCTGAAATTTGAGGTCTCACTTGTTTATTAAATACAATTATTAACTACTCATACTTCTCCTTCTCTCACTATGTCTGTATACTCATAATAGCAAACTATATATGTATTTGGGTATATGTGTACATATAGATACATGTATATGTGTGTATTTATATATGTTATATATATGTACACATATGTGGATATAGATAGTACAGATTTTTTCTTAACCAAATCCGTGATTTCATCCACGTGAGCAACTCTTGGGGAGGAAACTCCACCCATTGATGCAGACCAGAATAAAACATAATTTTATTCAAATTATAGTCTTGAGACTTGCTTGGGGTATTCAGAAGTTAAATAGATCACATAGCCAGTATGAGTCTGAGGTAGGACTTGAACACAGGCCTTCTGACCTCTGAGGTCATTTTTGTGTCTGCTGTGCCACAGTTACCTCTGGGTGAAACTCCCTATGACAAAATGGGCACTTAAATATGTGGAATTTTTTTTAATATACCCATATATGTCAGATATATAATTCATATCAACCTCTATGTCATTGTTTAGATGACGTATATATCCTTATATCCATATATGTGTGTCCTCTAGAGATGATACATGTATGTATATACACATACATATACATGTACCAGTTTCTCCCCGAGCTTTAGACTCACATTATCATTTGTCTATTGGACATTTGAAACTGGATGTCCCAGAGAGCTCTCAGACTCAGTATGTCTTAAATTGAACTCATTATCTTTCTCAAACCTTTCTGTCTTCCACATATCCTATTTCTGTCAAGGTACCACCATCTTTCTAGTCTCCCCAGGTTTGTAACCTTGGTACACTGTTTGACTTCTCCACTCTCCCTTGCCTCATATATCCATTCAGTTGCCAAATTTTCTTGTTTCCATCTCTACAACATGTCTTACATCAAGCCCCTTCTTGGCTCTCATAGGGCTACCACCTTGCTTCCGGACTCCTCACTTCCAACTCACATTATTTATTTCAACGGCCTCCTAATTAGTCTTACTGCCTCGTGTCTCTTGCAAGTCTGACTGTGGTGCTCAGTCAACTTCAGGGGCTTCCTGTAGCCTCTAGAATAAAGTATGCACTCCTCTGTTGAACTTAGAAAGCCCTTCACAGTCTGACTGTAACCTGTCTTTCCAGTCTTATTAGATGTTCTTCTCATTCCTGCACTCTACTATCCAGTCAAACTCTCCTCCTCTCTATTCCTTATCCATGGCACTCTATTTCCCTTCTCAGTGGCTTTTCGCTGGCTGTTCCCCAAATCTGGAATATACTTCCTCTTCACCACCCTCTTAGAGAATCCCAATCTTCCTTTTCAAGATGTAGCTCAATCACCATCTGCTGCTTGAAACTTTTTCTGGTTCCCCCAATTGTTAGTACTTTACCTTCCAAACTACCTTAGATTTACCTACTTTGTATTTATTTATATTTGTTCTAGATGTATTGATAGACTTGCTCATCTTCCCCATTATAATATAAGGTGCTTACACACAGGGATTGTTTCGTTCTTAGTATTTGTATCAATGCTTAGCAAAACACCAAGCCCGTAGTAGATGCTTGCTTACAGATTGATGTGTTATAAAGAATGTTAGCATCCACTCATTACTGAACGCTTTCTTTGTTTCCAACTGTCATGATGCTATGAGGTGAAATTCCATCTTACATATATCCTAAGCATTAAATATGAATTTTCTTCTAACATTTTCTCCCCACACATGTAGTGCATCATAGAATATTGCTGAGTTTTCCTCCTTGGTGTCCTCACATCCACCCTCCAAACATTCCCACAGTTGCTTCATGTTTTCTAACATACGCATATTACAAATATGATTCTTCAAACCAGTATAATGGTACTACAGATTTTAATATTTAGAACTAGAAGTAGCTTTAGAGACAACCCTATTCAACCCACTCATTTTATAGTTGAAAAGGAGAGGAGAGAATAAGGAGGAATGGGGGAAAGATACCATAGAGAAAAGGTAGAGGTGAAGAAGTATAGAGAGTGAGAGGAGACAGGAATGAATATCCCTCTATCTCCTTTGTCTCTGGTTATTTTTATAAAATTCTTTTCCCCACACAATGTTTTTTGTATTATTTTTTCTCTTTTTATTCTTTACAGAATCAACCTTGATTATAAGGAAATAAGCAAAAGGCTTCATACTCTAAGCTCCACTAAGTAATTGTTTTAGTTTATATCATTTTGGAGATAAATAATCATTCAAACAGTGATAATTATATTTAAACAGTGATGACTGCCTCCTTTTTATCCCTCCTACCCAAATCTCTATCACTTGTCTCAGTTTTCAGGGTGTTAAGATTCTGCAGAATAGGGGATCCTTGTTCAGTACAGATGTAATTTGTAGCTTATTAGGATAGGTATTGAAAGGCATTGGGGGACTTATGGTCACTGTGGTTGGATAAGAGTTTCTTATCATGGGCTAGGAGAAAGAGAGTTGTGGTGTATAGAGAATGGAGTATTCCCTATTCCTTTACTGACTTGATTGAAATCCTCCATAAAGATTTTTCCACTTTTGACTGAAGCAAATATTTAATAAGGACTTACGATGTGCCAGTCACTAGGAAATACAGTGCTAGGGAATACAAAGATAAAAAAAAAAAAAGAAACAATTCTTGCCCTTAAAGAGCTTTTATTCTATTAGGAGTAATAAGCGATCTACACAAATAATATTGAGTAGACACAAAAGTCAGAAATGGGCAAAATGATTTAGGAAATTTTGGGATGGAAATGTAAGAATCCTTGACTAGGATACTTAGGTGAAACAATTGATGGTCAATTTTTTAACCTGTTAAAATGTTTACTATTTGTGAAATACAGTCTTCTTGCTAGTCTTGCACCCAGGTGTATCCAGTGAAAAGCCTGATTTATTTTAAATATGTTTTACAAATTGTAGTATTATTAGGTTTTGCCTAATGTATAAAATGATATTAATTTTTAATTAGCAGCACCTTCATTAGAATCACCTCATGGTTGTGAACTGATCCAACCGTTCTGGAGAGCAATGTGGAACTGTGCCCAAAGTGCTGTAAAATTGTGCATATCCTTTGGTCCAGCAATACCGCTACTAGATCATATATCCCAAAGCCATCCAAAAAAAAAAAAGAGAAAAGGACAGCATTTGTTGTTATTTGTACAAAAATATTTATAACAGCTCTTTTTGTGGTGGCTAAAAATTGGAAATCAAAAAGATGCCCATCATTTGGGGAATAGCTAAACAAGCTGTGGTATATGATTGTAATGGAATATTATTTTGCTATAAAAATGACAAGCAGGATGATTTCAGAAAAACCTGGAAAGACCTACATGAACTGATGCATAGTGAAGTGAACAGAATCAGGAGAACATTGTGCATAGTAACAGCAATATTGCTCAATGAGTTACTATGAATGACTTAGTTATTCTCAGCAATACAATGATCCGAGACAATCCCAAAGGACTAATGATGAAACATACTATCTCCAGAGAAAAAAAATTGATATTGTTTGAATAAAGACTGAACCATGCTATTTTTCACTTTCTTTCATTTTTTTCTTTTATTTGAATCTTCTTGTACAAGATGACTAATATGGAAATGTTTTACTTGATTGCACAGGAATGACCTATATCTGAATGCTTTGGGGAGGGTGGATTAGAGGGAGAGATAGAATTTGGAACTCAAAACTTGAAATAAAAATGTTAAAAAATTGAAAAAAATAGTATGGAATGGCAAAAAAAGACCTCTAAAACATTAAAAAAAATCACCTCATGACAGAGGCAGTGTGAAATATTGGATAGAGAGAGGTCCTTGGAGTCAAGAAGACCTGAGTTTAAGTCTATTCTCTGACCTATGCTACTTGTGTTATCCTGGACAAGTCACTTAATTCTTCAATGCTTAGGCAACTCCCTAAGACTGTTAAGTTGCAGAGAGGGTGCTGATCTCACCAGGAGCTCCCAGACTGATGAAATTAAAAATCCAGTCTCTATCTCTGTCCTAATCCCTTCATAGTGTTGATCATTTACTCTGAACTTTTTGAATAAAATTGCATACAATTGAGTTGAAAAACCATTATGATAAGTTCTCATTAATTCATTTGTCATAGGTAACATAATTTTTTTTATATCTCCTGTTTTTTATATCTCCTGCCTTTCCCAATATATGCTTTTCCTTCCTCCTGCTAGAGAGTCATCCCTTATGCCAAAGAATGCAAAAAAGAAATAAAACAATTCAGCAAAACTAATCAATGCACCAAGCAAGTCCAACATTATGTATTGCACACCCATAGTCCTCCACCTTTACAAAAAAGGGAGGGAGGTTCACTTTCATATTTATTCCTTGGAGCCAGACTTGGTAATTACAGTTTTATAGGATTCAGTTCCACTTGTTTTCGTTTTTTTGTTTCATTTATTGTTTGAATTTATTGTATGAATATTGTTTTTCTAGTGATGCCTTCTTCGGTTTGTATCAGTTCATATGCCTTTTATAGCATCATATTCATCCTTTTTTACAGGAAATCAGTATTATAATATTGAATTATATCAGTGTACCACAATTTCTTTTAATCATTCTCCAACTGACAGACATCTACTGTACCTTGTTTCTAGTTCTTTTTTGAGTACAAAGGTGTGGCAATAAATATTTTGTTAAAAGTAAGACCTTTCTTTTTCTTCATTACCCTTCTTGAGTGTATATACCTATCAATAGGATTTCTGGGTGAAAGGCTATAGATATTTTAGTTACTTTCCTAGCATAATTTATGGATAATTTTAAAAATAAAAATTATTCATCTCATTGTGGTTAAATACCCAATATGACTACTTAAAAAAACACACACATAATTTTTAGCTTGAGCCTCTGATTTTGTTGGCATAGGGAAATCCAATGAGGAAATTCCTTATACCAATACATATCAGAGCCTGTTTTACCATTTATATTATCATTGAGTTGTCTGGGGCACTAAAGGGTTAAATTACTTGGATGTGTCAAAGGCAGAACTTGAATCCAGGGCTTCCTGGCTCTGAGGTCAGCTCCTTTTCTACCATGACAGCATGTTTCTACAAAAAATATGTTTTTATATATATATATGTACACATATATATGTACACACACACACACACACGAATAGAAAGAATATATTTTATGAATCTAATGTGGTATCCTATTTTTGTCTTTCCCAGATAACAGTTGAAGGCAAAAAACAAGTGTTCAATGTTAGAAGCCGAAATCTTTTTTATGACATTCTTTGTACTCTAATTAACCCACGACGTGAAGATACTAGGGGCTTTAGCCATTTTGCGGAAGTGACTGAGAAGTTTGCCTTTTCTCTTCTGACTGATGTTACCTGTGGATCTCCTGGTGAAAAGTGACTATCTTTTGCCATTGAATACAATTATGTGATAAAATTACTTAAATATTTCCTATATCTATTTTATAGTGTCTATAATGGTATAATATATAATATAAATATGTGTATGCATGTGTATATAATATATATATACAGATTACTACTCTTGCATTTCTTAATGCTTCAAAGTTCCTTTAAAAATAAAATCTTTATATTGTTAACCCCCACTAGACCACACAATAGACGAAAGTGAAATCCTGTATAGAAAACAAATGAAAATAACTCACCTCCAAAGTTTAGCAGTGATCAGTACTGTTGCTTTGTACTACTGATATGTTTTTCCCAATAGAACTATTGCTGAGCGTTAAAAGAGAATTAAATATGTTCTAGCCATGCCCAAGCTACCTCCTGGCACTGATGCTCAACCTTGAAAATAACATTTAAGTTCATAGTAGGGATTTGGCAAAAGAAAAAAGTCTGGAGAAATACTAATAGTTAAACTGAAATTTATGGCAGACAACCTTTCTTACAGAGTGATGGAATGCTTGAATGTGAAACTTTAGGTTCATTTAGGTATCTGGTAGCATAGTGTATAAAGCCTAAATTACTTGAGTTCAAAGCTTGCCTGGGGTACTTACTAGCGAGAGATCCTGGGCAAGTCATTTAACTGTTCTTAGCCTCAGTTTCTTTATCTGTAAAATGGGTATAATTAGCACCTTCCTCAGTGGGTTGTTGTGAATATTAAATGAGGTGATATATTTATAATTGTTGCATGGGATAGCTACCACACTGCAGCCCCTCACACCTCTCACACAGGGCTTGAGAGCATATACTTTCACTCTTTCGGCTGGCTTAATTACTCCAACCTGCTTTTGAACTGGCAGATTTAGACCCTAGAGAAGGACAGCTGTCATAGGATCACACTCAGATTCTGTCAGAGTCCTAAGCATAACCTTGCTGTGAGGGAATATACTTCCCCCACTCACCACTTTAGCTGTTGAGCCCCCACTTTTGCATTTCTGTTTACACAACCAACTACTCACAATGACATTTTTAGGTCTTAAACACAACCACCTACTTAACAATAAACTAAAAGAAATAACATCCCATATATCAAAGTAAATGCATAAATAATAATTATATTATAAACTGCATATGAATCTGGGTTGCACTTCCACCACTGTATCTTCAGTCTGTTGGGCATATGCTTACAGAAACCTACCAATGAGATGCAAGAGTTAAGGAAACGCATGTGCTTAGGCTAATTCATAACTCTGGAACTACACACCTCTGATTCTTCTTTCTGTTTCAGGAACTGTCAAAAGTTCCCAAGTGAATGTACCTTCTGTGTTAAATGCACGCTTCTTTTGTTAAGCTGAGTTGATCTGTGTTGTGCTTGACCAACACCTCACTGGGCATAACTTCTTAACTAAACTAGTGGATCCACTGAATGACTCTTTTGATTTTCTGCTTTTAATCTGTTCTTCTGCTCAGGTAGACTTATTCCTTAATAGCAACTAGAATATCTGTCACTTCCAGTTACAAGTTTTGGTGAAGCAGTTGTGAAATTAGTCTTTTTGCATCTCTCTCATTCTTATCTTTCTGGGTCCAATTCTGGATCCTTTCTGAGATGGACCTTCCGCCTTAGCTTACGATTAGTAATCAGATTCTCAAATCATACAACAGTACTAACATCTATATATCTTCCCAGTTAATATAGCTTATATTTAAAATTCAGCAGCAATAGCCATGTCAGAACCTTGATTCAGACTAAATCCCCACCAACTCTCTCAAGATTTCTCTTAGAATTCTGAGCAGTCTTAATTCAGCAACAAACCTTAGAGGATCAATATATTACACACGTAAAATACTTTGTAAACCACAGAAGGCTATATAAATATTATCTATTATTATTATAAAAACCAAACATGTAAAGTAATATTCATGTATTAGGAAAAAGAAAGTTGTCTTCTTTTTTTTTTTATTCTGAGCCTAACAAACATCAAATAAAATGATCATTTCCATATACACAATAGAACAGAAAGAGAACTGTGTGTAATATTACAGATCTCTATTATGTACTACTTAGTTTTCTATTAAAGCATATATGTTCAACCTGTAGCTTTTCAAAGCTGCCCTGTTTCTTTCTGGTCTTCCTTCTGTTGTCTTCTCTTCATTAAAAAAAGATACCTCAATTAGTCTTCTATTTTTTATAAGCTTCACTTTAATATTTTTGAGAAGCCCTCTTTCATTTCTGCAGGTCCCAACAGTGTGTCCTATAGAGTTTCATAGGGGAGAAAACTCTCAACTCGCTGTTTCTTTGGAGGAAAATTAGAGATTACAGAATGCATTCCTATATGTTTTTATACCAAACTAGCCTCTGCTTTATCAGAATGAATTATTAGGCTGAATGAAAATTCAAGATTTTTCACAAATTTGTAAAACTTACTCTTCAAGTAAATCGCTAAGATTTTTCTTTTATTTCCAAGCTTATTTTGCTCCCAACAAGGCCACTTCCGCCTACTGTTTCAGCAGTGTCAGCCTTCTAACTTTATACTATATTCCTGCCTATCAGACTTCTTAGTCATCCTACTTCCATTGACTGGAAAATTTCCCTTTCTTTGCTATTAATCCATGTCCATAACTTTCTTCAAGAACTTGCTTAAAACTCATCTTTTACAAAAAAACTTTTCCAAATATGCTTTTGTGCTTAGTTCACATACAATAGTTTATAAGCTTGAAGGTTTAGGGTTGAAGGGACCTCAAAGTTCATCTTGCCCAAGGAAAGTTAGACCCAGGAGAGATAAATGCCTTGTCTAAGACCACACAGATAGTAAGAAGCAGAGACAGAATTTGAACTGTCTTCAGATTCCAAATCCAGTCCTCCCATCAGTTTCAAGTTGATTTGTCCCCCTTATTCAATAACTGTAATGAATTTCTGTTGATTGAATATCCTTTTTGTCTAATGACATTTATTTGGAAAGTGGAAGGTGGGAACAAGAGGATTATGACTATAGAGTGGTAAAAAATGATAAAGAACATATGTAGGGATGGAACTTTTGAAATTATTCATGTTAGCATTATATTTTAAACCAATTGAGCTAAAAGGTACTCTATAATCTACCCTATTAGCTTTCTCTAATTACTTCTTTATTCTACATCATCATCATCATCATCATCATCATCATCATCGTCAGAGAGAGGCATGATTTAAGTCTACATGTGATTTTTGCTCATATCATGAAGACAATGACCAAATTCACCAATTTCCCTTTTATGTATCTATCCATTCCCAAAATGAATGAATAAATTAGTCAAAGTCTTTTGCCATAATCAGTTATTACTCATATGAACCATGGTTTCTTCATTTTTTATGTAATGCCTATACATTTTGACCTACTTGTGAAATGAAAAAGTCTCCTTTTTAAAACTTGTTGATAAGTGATAATTTTTAATTAAATAGCTATTTGCATTGGGAATTAAATGGTAAACACAAGCAATGTTAATGAATGTAATCATTGCTATCCTTGCTATGTTCATTAGCTGGCATTCTTTCTTTGCTGTGACAAATACTTTTTTATTCCACTTATTCATATGGTGCTTCTTACTTGGCCTCTCTTTGTTTCTGTGTACATACAGGCTCCTTGAGGGCAGGAACCTTTCTTCTTCTTCTTTTCTACTCCCTCAATGAAGCTGGTATAGTGTTGAACACACAGGAGGTACTCAGTGCGTGTTCAGTAAATGCTGGCCTTGTCCTCTAGAACATTTACTTCAGAAGAAGGAAGGGTGGGCATCACAGAAGGCCCCATAGCAGGTCACAGAATGGTAGAGGCAGTAAAACAGAAAGGCTTGCTAATATTATTTGCTCTGCTTCTCATCTTTGGGCCGGATTTCATCCTATTTTGTGTTAGGACAATGAGATGAGGCTGTGAGTCTTGAGAGTGGGGTCTAGTGGCATGACCCTAGACAAGCCACTTCACCTCATCTGTAAAATGTCAGAGTTAGTCTCGATGGCCGCTAAGGTCGCTTCCAGCTCTAAATCAACAATCTTATGAATCTTGTCATCTAAGTAAATAATGTTTATTTACTTTAACTTTAAAAAGCTGACTGATGACCCTTAATCTTATATAATGTGTCTCAAAAGTGTATTGCAGTTTGAAACCTTGATAGTTTAAGCTATTGGCTAGTAGCTTAAAACTTCATTAAGACTCATGGGACACCTTGTTTAAGAAAGAACACTTACTAAAAGTGGTGAATCCTTGAGCGTAATGACGGAAATATTTCAAAGGCATAACTATTTACAATGTAAGAAATACACCTATACTCAGTTTAATATCTTTGCGATATAGGTGAGGAATTGATAACTGTGATCCACCTTTGAATAAACATTTTATTTTCTTTCCATTTTTACACTGTATCAGTGTGCCAAATATCATAAGTTTTTGAGTTTAGCCATGCTTCAAAGACTAAGAAAAATAACTTTTAAAATTTCAATTTCATTTCCCAGTAAAATGATTGTTTGATGGCATTGTACAAACTTTATATTGTTATTTTCACTCTCCCTCCCCATTCTCATGCATTAATGATTGTTTGAAAGCAAGGGCATTTTGCCTAATGAGAAGTAGCTTATTAGGAAGATTTAAGTTAACTCTACAAAGTTTGGTATGTATCTGCTATTAGTTTTACTAACAGTCATTAAAGCTTGCCTTCTCGTGAAGTTGCAGTTGTGCTATTCCGTTGAAATTCAGAGATATACTCAATGCTACAAAATATATTACAATTAAAATCACTTTAAGGGGATATTTTATGATACCTGACAGCGTAAGCAAAAAAAATTGAAAATATATGTAAAAATGATCAGCACTTTGCTTATCACTATTTAGTATTAATGTTATCCACTTTAAAGTCTTATGTACAAAAAGAAAGATTTTTTTATATATGTTTTGATATGAATATGTATTTTTATAATATTAACTGACCCAAATAGGAAGGAAGATGAAGGTAAAATAAGACTGGATACATAGCTTGAAACTGTATTGTAAAGGTCTTAATGCTTGGATACATAGCTTGAAACTGTATTGTAAAGGTCTTAATGCTTGGCTGAGAAGGATTTATTTTATTCTAGAGGTAACAGGGTTTTTTTAGGTCCCTGAAAGTTTTTGATCAGGGGAGCAACATTACCTCAAGTCAGATGGACATCATTATGGGAACTCTGTTTTCATAGTCTCATATCCTGCCTTAAGTCACAGGTGACTCAAAAATTCATGGCATGGATTACAAAGAAAACCAAAAAATATATATAGAGAGAAGACTTCATGCAAACCTGTCACCACTACCCAAAAAACAGCTCAAAATACATGCTCTACTGATGCTTGGTCATTAATGTCACCTTAATGTATAGAGGGCTACACACATGTACTTGAATAAGTGTGATTGTGTATATTTCTATTTGTATGTTGTTTCAAAAGAAATCTTTTTTTTTTCTATTTCAACAGAAGCAAAACAATCCTTGACAAATGTCCGTATTTGTCAATATTGGCCCTTCACTGGTATCCACAGCAAATCAATGGACACAAGTTTGAAGGAAAAGAGGGGGATTATATACAAGTTCCTGAACGATTATTGGATGTGCCAGATGCAAGTCTTATGGCGGGTGAAAAAAAATGCAAATTAGTACAGTTTACAGAATATAGCAGCCAACAGTGGTTTATAACTGGTAACAGTGTTCTGGCCCTGAACAACAAGGTAGTTTTTGTTCTCGTGGCATCCATGTTTGTTCCTCTGTTAACCTCAGTAACCTCAGCTGACTAATTTTTTTCACCACTATGATATACATCCTGAAGTCTCTGGTCCTCACAGAAATATCAAACATCATGATCTGCTTGTTAAGAATGTCTTCTTTCTGTAGATAATATTTGAGATTTTACAGTTGAAATAAGTTAAGACTTATGTAAAATATTTGCTTGAGCTTTTGAAAATTGAAATTCTAGTAAGTGATGATAAAAGAAAGTAACTCAATTTTAAGCAATCCCAAGTCCTTAATGCTAAAAGACAGTGAAGCCAGTAAGTAAAAACTAAAGAAAGAATGCCCAGATGAGTGGAATGTTGAGTAGTCCTTGATCTCATGTATTAATATGAAATAAAATGGAGTTATGTAGCAATAAGTGAGAAGCAGGTAGGGGCATTTTATTCAAAAGTGGCCTAAGAATAATTGAATAGGGAAAAATGATAAAAATGAAGCGATCTGAACTGAGGGTGGGGGGACAATTTTGGTGATAATTTTAACTGGAAAACTTCAGTGAAGTTTTACCATGATTACTTTTGAAAAATTTTTTATTAAAATTTTTTTTTAATGTTACAGGTTTTATCTTTGAGTGTGAAGGGTCAGAGTTCATATCCACTGACAGACAACAATGAGGTCCTTTATCGGATTTATGCTACAGAACACCGGATTGTTCCCCAAAAGTCGTTATGCCTCCTTTGGAATCAGGCTACTGCAAGGTACTTTTGCATGATTGTGGCTGTTGTTTTCTAGGGGACCAGCATTACTTGAGCTAGATTTGAATATAATTTTCTGTTACATCTGGTTAACTCTATGGATGGGTGAGTATGAACAGGTAGAGAATGCTGTGATGTTGGATGGGAAGGCTCATGCAGTCACAAAGTCATTAAACAATATGGGTGATATTCCTTCCTCCTTTTCTTCCCTTCTTCCTTCTTTCCTTCCTTCCTTCTTTCTTGTCTTCCTCCCTTTCTCCCTCCCTTCTTCCTTTTTACCTTCCTCTATCCTTTCCTTCCTCCCTTCCTTCTTCCCTCCCTCTCTCCTCTTTTCCTACATCCCTTCTTTCTTTCCTCCCTTTTCTCCTTCCCTTTCTCATCCTTTTCTTCCCTTCCTCCCTTTCTTATTCCTTTCCTTTCTTCCTTTCTTCGCTCCTCCTTCCCTCCTTTCTTTCCTCTCTTTCTCTCTCCCTCTCCTCCTTTTTTATCTCCTTCCTTCCTCCTTCCCTTTCTCTCTTCCTTTCTTCCTTCTCTCCTTCCTTCCTTCCTCTCTCCCTCCCTCATGAAATTTTAGAAAGTCAGCAACCTAGGTTGGTAGAATTCACCTTAATCACATTATGACCTGATCTGCAAAGTTGGAAAAGGATTCCTTCTTTCTCTACTTTCCAATCTGGCTATAGGACCCACTACTGCTTTGTGGCCAACTATGGAAAGCCCTCTGATGAAGTCTCTTGTGGTAAGAAGAAAGAATATCCACTGTTAGCCTGGGTTCGAGTCTTGACTGTGCTGTTTGTTCATTATGTCAGCTTGGACAAGTTACTTAATTCCTCTTTGCTTGAGTCCTTGTCTGTAAAATGAGGCTGCTTCCATTGTCTACTACACAGGGTTATTGTGAAGGCCAAAAGATCTATCAAAAGGTTTTAACTGTTCTTATATTTCCAGTCCATTAATAATCTGGTATAAAATCTCAAGACTGAATCCTTATTTAGTCTAGAGAAAGGCCTCAAGTTTCTGTTCCAATATTGGTACAGACATTTAGTGCATTAATAAATATTTATTAGATTGGATTGAAAAGTTAGTTAAAAATGCTGAAATGATTGCATTCATAGGATCATAGACTAGAGAACTTAGAGGTCATTTAGTTCAACCTCCTCATTTTACAAATGAGAAAACTGAGGCCCCAAAAGTGAAATGACATGATTGAGGCAACATTAAATGTGAGTGTTCAGGTCAAAGTATCAGTTGCAGGTCTGTCCTTAACTCTGAATGTAAGATTATGATGTAATATTAAATTGGTCAAGCAATTGATAAAGAAATTCAGGAGTAGGTAGCTGGAGCTTTGGAACTGTGAAGTAGATTGACCCTCCATAGTTCTAATATTGTTGGCTTCTCATGGTTGGCTGGTTGAATTGAGGTTCATGATTTCTAATTTCTGATCTCAGTAGTGTTGCTTGATGCCCTCACTTTAATCAATATCTCAAGTTTGTCTTTGAAATTAGAGGTGAAGAATCTTCTGCCCTTGGAGATTTTTTCTTAGAAATTAGGGGGAAACATGAAATAGATTCCAGGCTTCTTTACTCTCAGGCTATCTTTCAATTCTGAAATCATTTCTAAGTAAAATGTTTAGCACAGTGCCTCTACATAGTAGGCATTTAATAAATGCTTGTTCGTTTCCTCAAACTTTTCCCTTTCCTATCTATATATATTTCTCATATCTCTCTCCTCCTTCTTAGCCCTCCCTCCATCCCTCTCTACCAATTTGACAATTGTGCTTTCTTTCATCTAATTCATTGATGACACTATTGAATGTTCAAAACTAGTTAATTTTGAATAAATCAGGGCCAAGAATGAAATCCTGCCTCATATCAGTACAGCCTTGCCACCATTATGTTAGTGATTTCCTCTGTGATTATTGCAATATATTAAACAAACAAAAAATTTTTTAAAAATAAAAGAAAGAATGGAAAACACAAAACACAGAAAGGAGATTAGCCAATGGCATTGCATAAGACTGCTCAAAAAATATGGCTATACTTCTTTGATGGGCTGTATTGGCTGTAATCTTGGTGAAATGTTTTTAGCTCATAGATTATACTACATAAAAAAAACATAAGTCCTGGGAAGAACTTGAAGAGATTCATGGTTCAAAAATAAATATATGAGATGTAGTTTTTTTCCTATTTTCCCCCAAGTGACGGGGTGATTAATACAACCCTCTACAACTATGACTGCTATGTAGGCTTGTTTATTTTACACAGGTAAAGCTGGTGTATTTTATTATTAATGTTAAATAGTGATTGTACTTTTATTTTGCTTGTATTTCAAAAAGTGTGATTGTAGAAATTCTCCTTTAAAATGCACAGTACTCCTTTAGGTTTGGTTAGCCTCACAGGCCACTTTTCTAGGCTAATTGTATAGTTCACACTCGGGCAGGTATTTGCTTCTTATCCTGTACAAGCTATTCTCCTTCGCAATTCTGCTTAACCATGGGGTTTACTTAAGGACTGACTAAAGAACACTTAAGTTCAACAAATGCTTTTACTCTGCAATTCTTCTCAATACCTTAAGTGCTCCAGTGAAACAAAAATGGTAATTTTCATTGTTGTTTTTGTTCTAGCTGGTTGTCCGATAGTCAGTTTTGCAAAGTGGTTGATGTCACTTCAGACTATGTGGAATGTGCCTGTTCACACATGTCGACATATGCCGTCTATGCCCAGACAGATAGCTTGTCTTCATACAATGAGGCTTTTTTCTCTTCTGGATTTATTTGCATCTCAGGTCAGTTGATTGCTTCTTAAGGTTAACCATGATAAGAAAAACAGAAGTATCACCTATTTTAAAATTGTACGTATGTGATAAAGAACATTAACTGTTAACTACTAATGAATACTTCTCATGCTATAAGTTTTTATTGGAATATGATCAGTGCTGGAAAAGTACAAAACAAAATACTTTATAAGGTTTTGAAAACCAGTTATTATTTGCTTTTATTATTATCTTTTTTTTTTTTTGGTTAGGCAAAGGGGTTAAGTGACTTGCCCAGGGTCACACAGCTAGTAAATGTTACGTGTCTGAGGCTGGATTTGAACTCAGGTCCTCCTGACTCCAGGGCCGGTGCTGTATCCACTGTGCCACCTACCTGCCCCTATTATTTGCTTTTAAAGGAAACTATCTTCATTTTATGTTTAAACATTTTACCTGACATGCTAGACATGGGGCCTAAGGGGATATTCTTTCAAAGAAAAGGGTCTTATTAAGGCCTGATGATTATTATAATTTGTTGCCTGCAACCAAAATGAAGAAAACTTGATTTAACACATTTTGTTGGTCCTTTGAATGGAAGACACTAGCAGTGTATTTGAACCACAAAGCTAATTTCACAGCAAATAGAGTGAATATCTTAAAAATATTAGTTTGTTTTGAAACAGAAAGAAAACCAAAAGCATTTTTGGTTTTTTTAGGAAGAAAAAAATAAATAGAAAAAATAAGTCCCAAAGAGAAAATTAAAAGTCAGAAATTAGGAAGTTTTTTTCCTATTGAAAGCCATTTCCTTCAAAAAATAATACTTTTTATATAAATTAATTTCATAAAGGTCTTTTTTAGAGAGAAATATGAATATTTAAATTAGGAACAAGAAACAAAATTTTGCTTAATAAATACAATACATATTTTTAAAAATATGAATCTTTAGTATGTTATAATTAACTTTTATTCTTAAAAAAGAGAGAAAAAGAAAGAAGGGAAATGGGGATTAAGGAGAAGAGGAATAGCTATGATGGTCTGGGAGTATGAGGAGGGAGATGAAGAGATAGAGACAGAAAAAATAGAGACAGAAACAGAAAGTATATAGAAGAGAGAGAGAGATGGAAAGACAGACACAAAAATAGCACAAGGAGACACAAGAAGAAATGCATGGAACAATACACACATAGAGGAAAATTGAGAAAGCCACAGAGAGAGCCACCTAGCCCCAGAAAGACAGACAGACAGACAAACACACACACACACACACACACACACACACACGCACACACACAGATATAGAAAAGGGAACATGGAAGCTCACATACAGTCGAACATACATGACACTATTGACTAGACTTGTATAGAAATAGATTTTTATAGAATTATTTTTCTTTTCTTTTCTTTTCTTTTCCTTTCTTTTCTTTCTTTCTTTTTTTTGGCTAGGCAATGGGGTTAAGTGATTTGCCCAGGGTCACACAACTAGTAAGTGTTATGGGTCTGAGGCCGGATTTGAACTCAGGTCCTCCTGAATCTAGGCCCAGTGCTCTATCCACTGCACCACCTAGCTGCCCCTAGAATTATTTCTCTATCAGCTTTTAGCAAAGCTCATGTTAGACTGTTATAATTTTGCATTTCCATATATATACATATATATATAACTCAAAATATATGTATGAGAAAATATGTCTGTAGGTGAGATATGGTTTTGTGTGTATTTGTCTATGCGTGCACATAAATATGTACATATGCATTCATATATACACACATATACATACATGTATATGTTTATGTACATATACATTCATTCATGTACATACATTTATGCATATATGTATATACACACATGTATGTATGTATGTGTGTGTATATATATGAAAAACTGCCTCCTGATACTTGTCTTGCAGGTCAGATAAAACTAACTAAGCCAAGGACTTAATTAAGGGACCTGGCTCATCTCTGTTGTGGAAGAGAAAGAAATTCATGAACTTGCACTCCACACAAGCTTCCCCTGATATTCCACATGCATTCTACCTTTCTGCTTTTGTTCACATAATTAACTCTACCTAGAATACCTCCATGCATCCTTACCATTTGTTTATATCGTAATCAGGCTTTCAAGGCTCAAGTCAAAGTCTCATCTTTTCCCTGAAGCCTTTCACTGTCCTAGCCAATGACTTCTCTGACTCTTACTAGCTTTTTCACTGATTTCTAATCTATTGTGAGCAAATAACAAATTTTTATTATTTGTCTTTTCATGTATTTTTGGTCTCCCTAACTAGATTTTTGGTCTCCCCTTAAAAACAAAAACTTACAGTCTTAGTACTCCCAGAACCTAGTGCCCCATACCTGCAAGTGCCCATTACTTGCCTTGAGTTGTTGATGACAGCCAACCTCACTGTTTCAGGACCTGCATGTTACAAATATAACCTGTATTGTCCTCCAAAGTCATTAAAGTCCAATGTTGGGGGTGGGGAACTGTGAATAAATGTAAAAGAAATAAAAAATATACATCTATAGGAAAGCATGATTAGGCTTACCGTATTATGGCAAATGGAGAAAATATTTCCTCGTTCATAGTCAACACCACTAAGTATTGAAGTCATTCACTTTACTAGATTTAAAGCCCTTTACACAGAACACTTTGGCTCTGTACATAGCACAAGTATTTCACTACTCAGGAGCAAAGTCATTGTTCAGTTATTGATGTTATTTAGTTAAGAAAATGACAATAGTCTTCTGTATCTCACTTTTTTACTTGTCATATTAGTGATTATAGACATAGGCTTAGCATTATAGATACTCCTGTGTACTTCTGAATTTTGTCAGAAAGCAATAGTTACTCATCAAGTTTTATGAGATCTGTTATCTGTTATTCTGATCTAGCTTTATTGAGAGACTGTCCACCTGGGCCCGTAGGGTTGAGGTACTCTGCAGACTACCTGTTCAGTACCCAGCCACACGACTGGACTTGGTTCAGATCTAGAGAATCCTGCCTCTAATGAGAGGAGGCTTTCTTTTTTCACGCTCTTCAACTGATTAAATACCCCACACCAATACCGTAGAGATGATTTTGTTTCTGGCTCATATCTGAGACTTCCCCTCTCCCCACCCAAAAAAAGGAGGAGTAAAAAGGTACTCGATGCAAAATATGAATAAGGCCAAGTACCACTAAACGCAGAACATGCCTAAACATGTGTTTGACAACAAACAAACACACTTAAAACAGGATTCGGTAACTTATCTACTGTTACAGTCTTTTGGGAGTCAGATACCCAGACTTCATCAGAACATAGATTGTGGCATTGCTGATTGAGTATTTTACAATTTCACCTAATACATATTGCATTTTTTAATTCTAGGACCTGGAGCAGGTCAATTCTACTCCAGACCTGAGCCTCCTAACATCTTTTATCTCAAACCATTAGTTCCTGTATTTGCAAACAGCTACTCCTCTCATTGGACCCAGTACCTAAGTACCTTTTGAAATCAAAAGGTGGCCTGAAAGCCTGGACATGTCCAACTTGAGAACTGTTTGTTTGTTTACTCAGGAAAGGAAACACAAAGCAGGAAAGACAGCCAGGGGCCCAGGTGCGAGCCTGCTAGGTTGAGTCTGCCCATTCCTCCCACTCACTCCTCTCTGTTATAGAGAGGGCCACACAGAAGTCACAAATAAGAGGACCATCCAGAAGCTTTCCTCTTCTTTTAAAAGACACGGTATCCTAACCCCCTCAGCACCCCCATTTCATGCTACTGTCCTGGCGCAGAGGAAGGACCTAAGGATAACTCAGGGTTTGCTCTCAGACTAAAATGCCGAATGTTATTATGTGCTTAGAATTTCCACGAGTTTTCAGCAGAACTCATGGTCCCTGAAATGTCTCCTGTAAGCCAATTTAGCCTTGAATACACTTCTCATTGTACTTCGGTGTTTCTGCCAAACACTGAACCATTCTCTTACTTGGTGTCTCAAAAGTTTCTGAGATTCTGTTCTGAGGATCTTTACATTTTACCTTCTAATTAATATTCACCTTCTATTATTAAATATGTAACTTAATATTTAGTGCACTTGATCACATATACATAAACACATGCTTACATGTATCACCTACCTGCTGTGCATTTTTCTGGACACAAAACACAATTAATTTACTATCTTTTGCCGTAATATCATTAAAATCTACTTTATAAGTAGTTATATTTTACTTAATAAAATGTTACAACATCTTATTTCTAAATCTATATTTAAATCCAGTAACAAATATTGTTGGCCTTTCCCTCAGTTCATATTACTTTAATTCTATGACATTTTGCTTTCATGATAGTACATTTTGATAGCATGGGGAGAAGTATATAGGATGATGGAGTAAAGATAGAAGGCATGAGTGAGAAAGAGAGACAGAGAGGGAAGGAGGGAGAGGGGAAGGAGATAAAGAGGGAGGAAAGAGAAGAGAGAAGAAAAGAGAGGAAAGAAATAAGAGAGAGGAAAAAAGATAAAAAGGGGAGATGAAAAAGATAAGAGGGAGAGAGGAACAAGAAAAGAGGAGAGACAGAGAGAGAGAGAGAGTGAGAGAGAGAGAGATACCTTTGAGAAGGGTAGGAAAACAAAACAAACATCATCAGGCCTACCTAGATGATGCACCTCTGTATTGGGAATACTGTGCAGAGTTGTGGTCACCATTTATATAAGAAGTACATTGCTGGAAAGAAATCCAGAAAAGATGAACTAATACAACTCAAGGGAGAAAAAGATTGCTATGTGAGAAATTTTCTGTTAAGAAGGATAAAGACTGGAAAAAATATAAATAGACTTTAAAACCTTGAACTCCTTAATGAAATAATATTTATATAACAGAAGTAGAGGGTACCTCTCAAAACTTTGAAGAGGCGAAATGAATGTATAAAGGGAAAAGCATTAATTGCTCTATATTGTTGTTGTTGTTCATTGGTTTCAGTTGTGTCCAACTCTTTGTGACCCTGTTTGGGGTTTTCTTGGCAAAAATACTGGAATGGTTTGCCATTTCCTTCTCCAGCTAATT